CTGTGCGCCGTGTGTACTTGCCGTGGCAGGAGGGAGAGAGAGAGGGAGGGCAAGGACACCCAGGCAGAAGCATCTTTATTCAGCTGTGTAAATGAGAGGAGATTCCTTGGGTCCAGCCACTGCCTAGGCTGCATCCGGCACATCGCCACCCCCATCATCTAAGTGTTCATCCGGAAATGTTCCACTTCCTGAGGTGAACGTTAAAATTCTCAAGTACTGGCTGCTCATGTTTTTGATCTTCTAACACAAATATGTCTTCTTGGCTTAAGCATATGAGTTGATCTTTTTCATTGATTTAGTATAGAGTAAAGTACAAAGTTCTTAGAAGTCCCAGTCAGGGCTTGTAGTATGTGTACACCTGTGTAAGTAACACTGAAGCCAAATGACAGAATGCTGTGACCCTCCCAACAGGCTGTGTCTCATCACTCCCCATTAGAATTTGCTAATCGGAGCTCACTCACGATGTCAGGATGCCAGGACTGCTTCTGTACCCTGCCCCCTGGCTCATAGCATCTTTCTCTGCATTTATTACAAAACTTGTGCCTTAACCTGTATCACAGTTGGTGGAAAACATAAAGGCCTAGAGGAGGGAGGGTGCCCCCGCCACAAAGTGGACCTTTGTTGGTGTTTACGTGCATGGTAGTTTGGTTTGAGATGGGCCAAGTACTTTGAGGACATCAGGAGTCTGCCCACCCCCAGCACCTGTACTTGTAGCATGTGGTGGATGGAGGGCAAGGGCAAGAAAACAGCCAGTCACATCCAGACAACTCAGCTTCTCTATTAGCTCCTGGTCGCGTGCACATCACATGACTGCCCAGCAGGCCTGCTGTTTGCAGGCCACTAGATGTGTTAGAGCATTCTTGCTAGACTGGCATTCTTGAGGTTTTTGAGCCTCTGTATGTGGGAGAGCCTGGGCTTTCTTTTTGGAATGGTGTAAGTTCTCTTCCTTCTTTTATGTAGTCCTCGGGACACAGCTCAAGAGTCATGGAAGCATTGATTCTTACTGATGGCCTCAGTTTCACAGTACATGCTGAGTTTCCATTGTTAAGGCATCCAATTTGACATAAAGAAAAGTTGAATTTCCTTTGCCTTCTAGAGTGGTTTACTAGTATTATCTCCTGTCGATTCCATCCTGTCCTTAGCTAAAATCATTGCTGATTTGTATGTGTGTATGTGGGCATTTATGCGCACTTCCATGGTCCAGAATACTGATCTGCAATGTGCCATCTACCAGCAGCAGAGCAGGGCCCATGTTCTCAGCCAATGGCTAAAAACATGGGCCAGGTGCTCAGCCGGGACCCGGGACGTCTGGAATTGCAGGGTCTGCATCAGCCCGTGGGGAGCCTGGGTGTGTGTCTGCAGGCACCTGCGCTCGCCTCCGAGTGGCTCTGTCGCCCCTCTGCAGCTCTTCTGTGTGGGCCTCACGGATTTGGGCCTCAGTTTCTTGGGGCCTCCGGGTGACGCAGTCACATTCTTTCAGCATGGAGGGAGGTTAAGTTCCCAATGGAAATACAGATGGCATGGGTCAAAGAGCAGGCCTGGTTCCTGGGAGGTGAGACACCAGTGAGCGCCAGCTAGAAGGTCCAGTCTCATTACCAACTCTGCTCCTTACTTGCTCTGTGGCCTTTTTTTTTTTTTTTCTGGTCTTGCATCATCTTTGATGGTGTCTCATTCTAATGATGTGTAAAAATCGATATATGGCAAGATCAGTTTTTTTCTGACAGTGTTACTGTGAGGACCTAGTGAGAAAGTCTACTGAAGTGCAGCACCTTATCTAAGCCATGCCAGTGGAAGCGTGTCCTGCTGCTGGCTACATCACCTGCTTCTGGAGCCTATCGATAGAACCCGATGACATCAGGATTCTGTGATCATCAGGCGTTGTCCAAGAAGTTCCCCCTGACCAGCTCATATTTGTGTGATCATTGGCACGGGTCCGCTCCTCCTGTCAGATATTTGTAACCACAAGCAAGAAGCAGGGGTTTGTAGTTTGCTGTACAGATTGAGAAGTTCTTGAATAGAAGAACTTGGCCTGTGGTCTTTGGAAAGCAACTGGAGATTTCAGTAGGGAGGTGGTAGGAGCAGACATTCCCTCCTGAGACTATGAGGGTTGAACTGGGAGCAGGAGCAGTAAACACCAGGAACACGTTGTCAGCAATGCAGGCGGAGATCAGCTCCAAGACAGACTGAACTTCACTGTGCTCCATGGTTATTCCTTCATCTCGCCGTATCTGGGCATAGGAACCCGTGAAAAGGACTGTTGTGCAAATTCAAAGCAGCAGGCCCAGTGAAGCGCTTAGCCTGGCATGTTGCCCATGGTGAACATTCTCCTGTTAGCAGTGTTTCATGTGCGTCCCCGCCCCCATTTCTGTGGTAGTCAAAAGTATATCACGTAAAATCTATCGTTTTAATTATTTTTAAAATATTTTATTTTTATTGCAAAGACATATATATATAGAGAGAGAGACAGACAGAGAGGAAGATCTTCTCTCTGATGATTCACTCCCCAAGTGACCGCAATGGCCAGAGCTGAGCCAACCCGAAGCCAGGAGCTTCTTCTGGGTCTCCCACATGGGTGCAGGGTCCCAAGGCTTTGGGCCATCCTCAACTGCTTTCCCAGGCCACAAGCAGGGGGCTGGATGAGAAGCAGGGCTGCCAGGATTAGAATGGGTGTTCTTATGGGATCCCTGGGTGTTCAAGGTGAGGACTTTAGCCGCTAGGCTACCACACCGGGCCTATTTTAACTATTTTTAACTGTTCAGTCAGTGGCATTATGTTCAAGGTGTTATATAACCATTACCACTATATTTCTAGAACTATTCCATGACCCTGAGTAAAACCCTTGTAACTATTAAACAGCAGCTTCCCAGGTCAGCTCCAATCTACTTCCTGTATTGATGAATCTGCCTGCACCAGGCAGTTCTTGTAACTGACATTGTGTGTTTGCTTAGGGAAGCATAGATGGGTTTCCCTCAGTGTGATTTTTCTCCAGGTTGTGTTCGTGTTACAGCATGCTGTGAAGCTTCACCTTTGAGATCAGCTAGTACTCCAGTGTGTGGGCATACCACGTCCTGTCTGTCTATTCATCTGTCACTGGGTTCTTGGGTTGCTTGCAGTGTCACCTCTCGTGAGCCATGCTGCAGTAAAGCAGATAGCTTGCATCCTTGCTTCCGACTCTGTGGACGGTATCCCTAGGAGTGGAGTTGCTGGCTGGAGTTCTACATGTCATGTTTTGAAAAGCTGCCGCACTGATTTCTGCAGTCGAAGCGCCACCGGGCACTGCCACGAGCCACGGAGGAGGGCTCCAGGCTCCCCCCAGCCTCGCTGGCACGGGAGCCCTGGTGAGCGTGAGGGCTGGAGCTGAGTGGTTCTGATTTGCATTTCCCGTGTGAATAATGATGCAGCACATCCTGTCATGTGCTTGGTGATCACTTGTGTATTTTCTTTGGAGAAATATTGTATTTTAAGCCCTTGCTTAAACCCGTGCAGGGGAAGTAGAGAAAACCAGAGGGAACAAGGCAGTGGATGCAGCCAGACTGCGTGACTGATTTGGTAGGGTGGTTGGTGCTGAGTTTTCCAGCTTGGGTAAGTGGATGAATGATGGGGTGTCAACGAAGACACCTCTGCTGTGAGAAGGTCCGGGTGGGAGGCAGTGTGCTGTCTCTGGGTGGCGCTGCATCCAGCCTGCAGAATTCATTGCCATGTCCATGGCTTTGATTGGTATTCTCTCCCCCACCCCAAGTACAGAATATATTTTCAGTTATGTCTTCTCCCTGATTCTACTTTTATATTATTTTCATTGTATCTTTTTATTCCACTTCTATATCTGGCCAATGTAAACAATTATTGGGAGTCAGGTTCATGTAGTGATATAGTGGGTTAAGCTCCCATTTGGGATGCTGCTATCCCATGTTGGAGCTCTGGTTCAACTCCTGGCTGCTCTGCATCTGATCCAGCTTTGTGCTAACGGCACCTGGGAAGCTGGCTGAAGACGAGCTGAGTCCGTGGGCCCTGCCGCCTCCGTGGAGCACGTGGGTGGAGTTCCAGGTTCCTGGCTTCATCCAGCGTGGACCATTGTGGCCATTGGGGGAGTAAACTAGTAGACAAAGGGTTTTTCTCATTCTTTCCAATAAATAAACAAATACATCTTAAAATTATAGCAGTCACTGGGGGGGGGGGCATGGGATTCGGGATGTACAGCCCAGTCTTCCTCCTTTTTGCCCTTTAGCAGCTGCTCTTCGTCAGGTGGGTCCTTTCCAAGCAGCTGTTGCGCCTGGCAAGCCTTCGGGCAGGCGGAGGGCGGGGCAGAACGCTCTTGAGGGCTGTGGCTTCTGAGGCTTTTTCCAGGGGCCACCCCAGCCTTTCGACATTTTCCCCCTCTCTCTCACCCTGTCCCAGTGTGTGCCCCTGGTGATTGGGGTCAAGTGAGTGCTACGCAGGTCACCACTGGCCCACTGCACTGTTTGAATCCCTCCTTGGTGGGGTTGGATGCTGTGTGGGCACACAGCTGCATCTGCACCGCCCTGGAAAGTTAGGCTTTGCATGTTGCTTCTTCCTCTGGAGGAGCAGCAGTGGGGAGATGAGCTACTTGCGGTGCATTGTCTTTGCGTTTAGAACCCTGACAGGCTGTCAGACAGCACCAACAGAGCATCCTGTCGTGGGGCTCAGGGAGGCAGTGTTTGTGCATTGTCCCCTGATGCCATCTGTCATGAGGTGACAGGGACCCCTGGCCACCATTGGGGCTGCTGAAGTGTGTAGTCATGCTCATACATGTACATACATGGTGCTGTGCAGTGTGCAGAGGTACCAGTGTTGGCATAGGTCTGAACTCTGCCTAGGAGCCCTGTGAGATGCCAGCTGAAACTCTTAAGCCAGCAAACTGTCAGCTTTAGTCTCTGGTGTCTGACGGGGCCCTGGTGAGGCGGGAGGAGTTGTGGGTGAAGCTGCTGCACAGAGCAGAGCCAGCAGTGGGGGAAGCTGCAGTAGTGACTGTGCCACCCGTGGGTGTGGCGGAGGCTGTGGGGCAGTAGCAGTGGGAGCTTTTGTCTTTTGTCATTTTCTTGCATCCCCTGTCCAGGCCTAACCATGGCTGTCCGACAAACTTCCCGCCCTTGGGCTTGTTCCGCAGAGAATCTGTTCTCATTTCTCACCCTCCATTCTTTGTCAAGAGCACACCTCTTGTTCCCGAGTCCTCCCTGTCATCAGACAGGCTTCAGATGCAGCGCCTGAGCTGCCACGGTGACCCGCTGTGGTGGTCACAGATCAGACAAGTCCACAGGCTGTGGTGCTGCTTCGGGGGGACTCCCGTGTGTTCACCTGTGCTTGTCAGTTACTGTCACTCTGGGTTAGACCTGCTTTGGGAAAGCATTAAGAACATTATTAAGGTATTCTGAAACATTATACCAGCCATCATTTTTAAACAGCCAAATATTGAAGGAACTTAGAAAAGAGTCCACCTAGAGCAGGGCCAGTGAACTTTGAAGATATTTTAGGCTTTGGTCTCCATCGCAGCTGCTCAAGTCTGCCTTCCGTAGCAGAGCAGCTGCCAAAAATACAGTTTAGCACACAGTTGTGGGTCCTGTTCAAACTTTATGTACAAAACCAGCTGTGGGCTATAGTCTACTGCCAGTCTTTATTTTAACTGTCAACCTTATTTTTCTCTTATTCAAGAGTTAAAACAGCAAGGGAACTTGATAATTGTAAATGAATTTAAATTCTCTTCTTTTGGGTTTAGTTTAATTGTGAGTACAATGACGATCGGGGGGTGTAATTTCCAGACCCCTGTTGAGAACAATAGAGATCAGAGGGCTTTTTAGGAGGTGAATCTAGTTGGCCAAAGCTTATCATTCTTTAAAAAGTAGGACAGGCTTGGCTGAGTGCTGTCCTGTGGCTTTTCTGTGTCACTAATTCTCTCAATGGTTACATGCATAGGCCACAGGCATGTGGTGGTCTCACCATCCTGGACGCTATTCTATTTTCTAGTACTGGGTGCTTCTGTAATAGCTGCAAGTGGGAAAAAAACCTGTAAAAAAAAACAAACACCCTCCTGTTTAATATGTTAACCTCACTGTAGTTCATTTCCAGAAAACTGAAACTGAAGCTAATCAAGGAGGCTAAAATGTCAAGCTACAATCTGTTTTCTTCTGTTCTCACAGGAAATAAAGAAAGACATGAAGAAAGACCCTCTCTCTAACAGAGCTCCAGAAAAGCCCATGCACGAAGGGGCCAGTGGCAACTCTTTGCTGTCTTCTGAAGCCATTTTAAGAACCAACAAGAGAGGTATGGCAAACGAGAAAGAGACCCCTTCCCCATGCACAGCCCCAAGCTAGAGAGTTCCAGGTGAACGGTGTCCACTTTGGCATTGATGTAGCCAGTGGGTACAGTGCTTTTGGCACACGTGTTGGACAGACACGGAGCACATGACTGAGCGTAGTTGCTCAATGACGTGGCTTTGATGACAGGAAGGTGGACTGCATCTACAAGTGATGGCTTCTGTAGGGCTTTAGCTTTTGCTTTTGCATCTCTTTTGATGGATGAGAGGTGAACGTTGAGAGTGTTATAAAGCAGGCCTGAGCTGTGTGTACCTCACAACACTCTGGTTTTAAGGAGACTTGGTCAGGGTCTTTCTCCCCAGCTGCTGACCTCCTTAACACAGACCCTGCCCCTGGGGGTTGCGAGGCAGAACTATGTGAACACATCTGGATGGCCACCTGACCTGGAAGGACCTCGTTTTGCCCTCTTCAGAGACCTCAAAGCGGATTGTCAGGTTTTCAGCTTGTGGGAGTTTGTGTTTTCTCCCCAGGCCTCCTTGCTCAGCCCGTCCTGGGGCAGCCGGGTGCGTGGAGCACTCCACCATCCCCTAGTGGCCAGCTGCCGGCTCCTAACAGGCGTCCAACTTCCTTAAAGAGAGACACCGAGCCGTGGAAGGCAACAGCAACAAGTGGAGTAGCTTGCAAAGGGTTCTATGAACAAGAGAAAGGAGGCCAGTTTACAGAACCATGAGGAAAGAACAGCTAATCTTTCATAAAACCCAGGCAGCATAAGTGTTTGTCCAGTGAGCTGCCTGTTGGTCGTAGCTGGAAGCAGCTTGGTGGCTGGCTCTCTTCCTGTCTCCTCTGTTACCCCCTCCAGCTGTCCCGGCTCACATTTCCTTTTTTGAATTACAGAGATGCTGGGACATTGGCTGAGTGCCGACATGGGTTAGCCTCTATGGGATTTTATTTTATCTTTTTAAAAACACCCAATCCCATGAAAAGGGAGGCTTCCCATTTTAGGGATTCAGCAGACACTGAGGTACAACTTAACACTTTGCCCGCACAGTGCCCCTGGCCTTCGTGCGGACAAGCTGCCAGGCTCCTGAGACGCGCAGGCCCTCGGAGCCCTCCCGGCTCCCTGCCTCTCCCTGCCCAGCTGCTGTGCACCTGCTGGCGGGCCGCATGCGCTCTGCAGCCAGCGCCTTTTTGGGAAAGTCAGTGAGAGTTCAGATAATTCATTAGTTGGACAAGAGAAAGAATTAATTAAGGTAAGGAATGAAGGTAATTACCAGGATGAGTTCAGTAAAATTACCTGAGAACTTTGAATCAACAAAGGAATAGAACTTCTCAGGTAATTGTCTCTTTATGACCAAGCAGCTGGCCTTCTGTGTTCCCCTGTGGAGCTTCTCATTCACCAAAGAAGTGGAATGAGAAGAAATGGCTTCCTGACTCACTCCTTCTGAAGGCCCTCGCCTCACCACGCCGGGCACGCGTGCTGGCTCGTGTTCTAGTCCCTGTTTGCCGGCGGCTGCGAGGCCCGGCTGCACGGAGGCGCTCTGTGGATGGGAAGCATGACAAGCCATTTTCATTCTGTCCCAGGCTTGGCGCTAGCCTCCTGCGTCACCTGGGCCAAACATAAATCTCCAAGTGAAGGGAAGCATTGTCCCAGGCCCAAGCTGCCTTGGGCCCTCCCCCAGCCTCCAAGACCAACAATATTCTACTGCTCCTTACAGCAAACAGCGGGTGGGCGAGATTGATTGGCCTTGTCAGGCCAGATAAATAGTTCATTGTGCTGAGTTCAAAAGCTACATTTTTTTCCCACCCCAAATCAATGAAAAAACACTGTTTTCCCTCTAAAACAGGGATCAGAGGCTAAATCTGTGGGATGACTCTACTTAGTTGAAAACACTTCCGTGCAACTCCGTTTGCCTCTTGGGAGTTTTGCTGGACGACCGAGTGTCCCACTGCCCTTCGTCCCAGGACAGCCACCTCGTGTGTGGCTCCGTGCTGTTACAGCCCTTGGGGAGGGCGCTTGCCTTCAGGCTTCGTTAAGAGGCTGTTTTGATTCACTGCTGTGGGATCTTTCCTAAAGCTATGAGTACCTTGTGATACAGCCTTGTGCCCTGGGAGAATTTAACAGAATGAACAGCGGCTTTTTCCCCCCTTGATCAAAGATGAGTATTTTCTGTATGCAAGTCTTATAATTTGATGTAGGCTTTGAGTTGGTTTAATAATGAAAGACTCAAAGTCTGTTTTTGTTGAGTTTAAAATTGAGCCACTTCATCGGATCCTGAATTTGAGATGGGCATCACTAATGAAGTTTGTCTACTTGTGCTCAGCCATTTTTCCATTTTGTGACATGCCTCACTTTGCAACTGTACAGACGGGCTATAATTCCTCGCGTGTGGGCTGACCTGGGCCTCTGCAGACACCTGCCTGAACGAAGCCCGGGACTGCAGAGACATTGGTTCCAGACTGATTAGTTTCTGTGTTCAGCCTTAATGACTTGGTAGGTTTTTCATTGGAGAAGATGTAACCAAGATTGAGAGAGACAGAATTCTCCCAGCCAGCCTGGCAACCATCGGCTCCATTTCCCAGCCGTGCACTTTAGGGCCCTTCCTACCTTTGGTCGCAGTAAAGGAACTTCTCGTTTGACCCAAAGATTTCCTGAGGAATAAGAAACCTTTTTTTTTTTAATTTAAATTTGAAGCATAGATGTTGAATATCCTGAAGGTGTTCAAGACTCCAGAACATTCAGGAATTGCGGCCTGAAAATGGGAAAACTTTGCATACAAATGTTGTTTTCATGAACTGGGCAGAAAGGAGTTGTCTGTTTCATTCTGAGAATGTTTTATTCTTTTGTGTCTTCTTGTTAAAACCATATAAGAGAATGAGACACACTCCTAAGTTAGAGTGTTGATATATTCCAGAATATTTTTGGGGGGAAAAGCATTCAAATCTTGAATTTGAAGGCAAAATCGAATAAATTGCAAGTTTTAATGATTATGACAAAGGTTCATAATATGTAGTTGAAAGCAAGTGGTGGGTTTTGTCCAATTTAACATTTAAATTAGTATTTAACATTCTATTTGAGTTTTAAAAGAATGAAGATCAATTGACTTAGCCCTTGGCAAGACTTCCCAGCTCACTGTATGCGTGCAGTCGTTCAGGTTGCTGGCCTGGAATGGCTACCTGGCTGGCCTGGGTGAGGACTGGGTTCTGTCTCAGAGCTCTGGTTTGCGTGGTGAGCAGACCACATGTGCAGGATGCAGCTCTGCCTCTCCCTGGCCCCCTTCTGCAGCTTGTCATCTAGGAGATTGCTCCCCTCCTCACTAGGCAGTAGACACCAACGAGCATTCAGCAGCACGTGATTCCTGCATGCCTACTGCAAATGTGCCTCTGTTCTTGGTACTGGGAAGATGTGAATTCTAGAATAACACCAGGCATCCTGCCTGCCAGCCATTCCAGGCTGATGTGTCTCACTTGGGAAATGTTGACAAAGGGCTATATGTTTCTTTTTAACGTCAAATTTGGGGTCACTTCTGTCATTCTGAATGTGAAGCCACTCCATGGGTTTCTGGTTGGCTTTATATGTCCTTGTTTCTATTTCCAGTTTATCATGAATTCAGTTGTTGGTAAGTCTCTACTGTATTTTGCACACTTATTCTTTGCTATTATTATTATTATGCTCTCCCGATATGAAATGTGTTTTATTATCATCTTTTTAAGTCGCTCTGCTACTTTGGCATCTGCCTCCTGGCAGATAAACTGCTTTTACCATCTTTATTTAAGATTTGTTATGCATTTGCATTTTACTGCTCTTTTCAAAGATGAATGGCAAAAGGTCCTATGGTTTAGAAGATGTTGCTGTAACAGGGCTAGCTGTGATGCTCTGAGGTGAGATCTTCCATGTAACTTGAGATTCCTATTAAAATGGGGAGGGTTGCTCTCCGAATTAGTACATGGGGATGACTTCGGTTGTCAACCATTGCTCTGTGGGTTCATTTCTGATTGTTTGGTCCTTCACAATGGTTTGATTGAAAATGTTTCCTTAACAGAGGGACCAGCTGCCTCTGCCCCTGGTGACACACTGTTGCTTTAGCAGTTGGCATGGAAGTCCTTTAGAATTCATTTGGGTATGGATGGATGAGACACACATGCGCTTCCTGAGGCTAACCTGAGGCTCGTGTTTGCACTTGGAGGGCTCCCCATTTTGGTCTGCTGCCTGTAGCTATCAGAAGTTTACTTAGTTTCAGCACTGGTCACTCCAGTCTCCAACCTCCTGTGACCAAATGACTTCCCTCCCTGCCCCCTTTCCTTGGAATGGAATCATTTCCCTCCCCCGCCCAGGCTTCATTTCTGCAGCATTTACTTGGCTACCTGGAGTAGTATTCCCAAGGTTCGTGAGTGTGTGAACGTATACATGTGTGTGCAAACATGTGTGAAATATCCACCTTCTGCAACTGTTGGCATAGAACGCCCATCTTGCCTGCAAGGCCGTGGATCTGAGTGTGTGAAGGTTTTAAGTGTATGAACTCTTTGTTAGAAATGAAACTGTCAAGAAAAGATGGAAAGTAAGTGTGTCCTTGTTTAAAACAAAATCAATTGCTTCAGTTTTACAGTGGGTTGTCATTTAAGGTAGATGCAAGATCTGGGAATTTTTTGGAAATGAAAGTTTTTTTTCTTTAAGATTGCTATTGGAGAAACAAATGTGAATCCCCTTCTTCTCTTGTCCCCTGAGAATCAGAAAACGCAGCAGGTTGGGTCATTCTTTGGGTTTCCAAGCCACCTATTGACTTGGTCCAGGAGGTTGATCTTCTGGTTGCAGAGTAGGAGTTCCCAGAAGTCGGAGATCCTGTGGGGAAGCACTTGGCTCTCATCTGAGCTCTCTCTCCCACAGAGAATAAAGCTTAAAGAGATGGAGGTGATATTCGTTCAGTAACAAGAATATTTGTGCGGGGGTTCATCTGCACATGCATTTATAGTCTTTTCCCCCGTAGGTAGGCCTTCATTCTGAAAACCTTT